AGGAAAATTACATTCATTATTCTCTTTGTGCCAGTCCCGTTCACCTCGGCAAGGAAAGCTCCAAACTTGGAATACAGAAACGCAAAGACAAACTGTATTTGGAATGTCTTCAGATAGGCACTTTGAGCCCAAGGCTTTTCTCCTTGAAGAATCTATACAAAAAGAGGAAGAAAAAGGTCTTCCTTCCACGCTGTCTCGCAACAGAGCTCAGGTATGTACATTCTAAAGCCCAGGTAGGCAAGACCCAGGGGAGGGGAAGAGGAGGAGAAGAGGAAAGGCAAAGAAGCACATTAACTCAATTTGCAGTCCAACACAAAAAAAAGGGGGAAATTCTAAAATAAATAATCCAAACACAGTTTTTGCATTTTTTTAAATTAATTTTTCATTTTTTAAAATAAAATAACCAAAAAAGTGTAAAGTTACAAAAAATGTCATTGTAGTATAATATATTAAACTGTGGGGAAAAAAGGAAAAAAGACACTTCACAATCTTAAGATTAATATGGAAGATCATAATTTAAACATAAAAGAATATATTCTATGGATTCATCATCCCGATAAATATGAACAAAATTAACAAAAAAGCATAGGTTTCGGCAATAAATACGTTTTGATAAGTTAAATAAGCTTTTTTATATTGTTGTGCAGTGACAAGCAAAATTTGCTCTCCAATTTCTGAAGTTATACAAAATTAAAAACCCAGAAAAAAATAATAAAAAGCTTGGCGTGAGTGCTCTAAGATAGGTCTAAAGTACTCTAGAGCAAAACCATTAAAGCTAGGTCTACTGGAACTTTGTTTACACGAACTTGTGTGTATGTGGAATGACTTCCGTCGGCCCCACCCCCTCTATTTCTTTATTTGTTTTAAGATGTCACATGAATACACGGGGAACTTTTAGCACCAAAATCAAGTCTCTCATAGTCCATCTGGTTTTTGTTTTCTCTTTTGTTTTCTTCCTCCCAGTCGAAGTCCCACTCATGTTACAATCTTTGTCCGTCCTCAGCTTTTCTTCCCGCAGACCTGAGCAGATCCAGGCAAGATTAGTCTTTAAGGGGAGGGGAGAAAGAGGACTGGATGTTAACGCTTGCCCACATGCCTGCAGCCTAGCTGAAACTGGCCAGTCAGGAAGGGACTGGGAGAGGGCGATGCAGTACATGGCCAGTGGAGGGAGCTGGATCCGGACATTTCCTGCACATCTGGAAGTGCACAGAGCTGCTGGTGCCCTCTGCAGCTGGAGAGGTAATACAGTCACAGTGAAAGTGTTAAAAGGCACTAATTTTGTAAACGTTATTGCTTTTCATCGTAATTTGGCACTTAAGGTTTAAGCCAGTGGGTCTACGGCAAGCAGGTGGACATGTTAACATCCAGCTCAGACTACTGGGGACAGGGTGGGGGGAGTTCAGCTTAACATCGTAATAGAGGTGGGGTGGAGCAAGAGGAAACCCCAGACTAGTCGTCGGAGATGGAGAGTCTGCTGAAGATGGGAAGACGTCTTGAGGTGTCCAGGATAGGGGAATCTGAGCCGCTGTGGCTGCTGCTGGAGCTGCTCAGATAGCCCTCCTGGTCAGAGAGGGAGTCCTGAGGACTGGGTGGCGAGTCAAACATGTTGGGGGACTCGGACATGGGCCTGAACAAGAAGGTGGTGGGGGAGCTCCCGCTGGGCACCTGCATCCCCATGCTGGGGGCGAAGAGACTGACCAGCTCCTGGCTGGAGAAGGTAAAGGGGTTGCTGGCGCAGTCAGGCAAGGTGGGGGAGCCCAGCAGGTCGTCAGCGCTCAGCATGGGCGGTGGGGTGATGGAAGTGGGGCTGTCCAGCAGCCCGCTGGCAGCAGTGCTGGGGAAGCCGGCGAAGCTGAAGCTGTGCTGCAGGCGGGGTCTGTCGGTGACGGCGGGCTCCCTGCTCCCTGCCCCGGCACGGCGCTCCTCTGCGTTGTGGGTGGAGGGGCGGGGGGG